AAGCATGGTCGGTGTGGCTCAGTGGATTGAGCACCAGCCTGTGAACCATAGGGTCACAGGTTTGATTCCCAGTCAGGGCACATTCCTGGGTTGCGGGCCAGGTCCCCAGTAGGGGGTGCACAAGAGGCAACCACACACATGGATGCTTCTCTCCCTCACTTTCTCCCTCCCTTCCCCTCTGTCTAAAAGTAAATAAATAAAACCTTTAAAAAACAATTCAAGTAAAATGCCTGGCCAGGCAGAGGAACTGGATTGCTCATACATTGTTGATGAGCATTTGAAATGATACAACCACTCTGGAAGACAGTTTGGCAGTTTCCTGAAAAACTAAACATATACTTCCCATACAACCCAGCAATTGCAGTCTTGATCATTTATCCTAGAGAAATGAAAACTCCTGCTCAAATTGAAACTTGTACATGAATATTCACACCCGCTTTATTTATAATTTCCCAAAACTGGAATCAGCCCAAATGTCCTTCTGCGAACATCGTTTAGCCTTACTTCATGGTGATAAAAAGAGAAAAGACCAACTTTAGTTGGTTCTATCATTATTTTTTAATTCTGCACACACAGTGAACCCCATATCGTCTTCACCCAGGATGGACTGCTCCCACTGCCCTGCCCTTGGTACACTCGTGCTGAGAGGTCAGAGCAGTACCAGGAACACCCCCCAGCGAAACTGACTTTAGAAATAGGAAATCAAGGCTATTTCTGAAACCCATTTTCATACCTCTGTTTCCCTTCCCTGAGCAAGAGTCTTGGCCCTTCTACCCCTTACTCAGGGTCTCTAGTCCTTGCTAATTCTTGCCACAGTGGACAGTTGAAAAAGGCTTCAAAACACTTTGGGTAGAGCCTGACTTGGTGACAGCCATCCCCTCCAGGAAGAGGAAATACCACTAGTGCTTTGAGAGAGGCTTTGTGCCTTTGATTTTTTCCATTTCCAGTTAGCAATTGACTGTGACCCCCACCAGTAGAAATGCCTTTGGTTTATTTTGACTTAATCTAGGATTGCAGTGTCTCCTGCCTAACATCAGGGGGTCCCGTAGGCAGAATTAGGCATGAAGGGAGGATTCAGGAAAAGGCCTTCATCCAAGCAGGGAAAGATATACTACGCTGATTTCTATGAAGTGTCAGTGGGAGAGGCTTCTCACCCCTGACTCCATTTAGTCGTCCTATTTGCTGACATCTTAACTGAATTCATTACAAATTAGGAAGGTTTGGCCCAGACCTGTAAAATGTCATTATTTATATTGACATTGTGAGGAGGTTTATGCTAATAATAATTATTACAATCTTAGTAACTGGCAATATACCTTGCTACTCATGCTAGTATATGTACACATACACGAGGCCTGTCCAGAAGGTATCCAGCTGTGTAATGTGAAAAATAGAGACATTTATTGAAGAAGATACAAGAAACATTGCACATAGGACAATGACGCCTCAGTCCCCCTCAAAGGAGGCACCTTGGGACCTCATACAGTTCTCCCAGTCACCATCAACTGCCCTATCGTATTTTCCTGAATCTTATCAATAGTCTGAAATTGCCTTCCTTTCAAAGGTAATTTTAGTTTTGGGAAAAGCCAGCAGTCGCAGGGCCCCAAATCTTGGCTGTAGGGGGCTGAGTCACCTGAGTGATTTGATGTTTCGCCAAGGGACTGCACAAGACTTGATGCATGAGCGGGCACGTGGTCATGATAAAGCTGTCAATCACCAGCTGCCCATAACTGTGGCCTTCTGAATCATCCAAATAGTTTCTGCAGAAGAATGTTCAAGCTTAATGCAAAATTGGATTCATTGCAGATTTGTTGTTCTACTTGCTCAGTCATTGGAAATGCAACGGCCACACAGTACACATGCTCGCTCAACGGTGTCTACCGCCCCCACTGACTAGTAGAGTGAAATCATCATTGTTCACGCATGCGCATTCCAGACCACTCTCCTTGGCTGCCAGGTTACATCAATGTCATGCAAACAGTTCTCATTATGTTAACAATGGCTGGAGTTTTTCCAGACAGACTTATACACGTGCCCATTTGTGTGCACACACACATGCCCTACTCACTGCAGGCTCTTTATAACAAAGTTCAAACCACTGTGGTAAAGGAGATAACCGTAGCAGAAGGGTTGGGCAGAGCGGGGAGGGAAGGTTACCCACCATGTACCATATATTCTGCTTGGGGACATTACATGTCTTAGATCATTTTAACCTTTACCACTTAACCTGTAAAGTAGGTACTACTATTATTCCTGAGTTACTGATGAGGAACTGAAGTGAGAGGGCTGGGAGAAGTGAAGCGAGATCATCAGATTGTGTCATCCTGCTGCTGCTTAAAAAAAAATCCTTACTCCTCATCCCCAATCTCCAGGCTGTGTCCTGGCAACTTCCCTAGATTCGTCTCAGGCCCCTTCCCTCTTGCAGGATATTCTCCAGCCACACTGACCTTCGTTCAGTTCCTCTAATGTGCCATATTCTTTTCTGTTCTAGGGCCATTGCTTAGGTTTATTCTCTCTGCCCGCACTGCTCTCCTCTGTGTCTACTTGCATTCACCGGCTACCTCCTCCTCATTCTCCATGTCTTAGCATAATGTCACATCCTCAGGCTCTCAGGGAAACTTCCACTGACTTCCCCCTTTATGATGTCTCTCAGACTATGTTAGATCCCTTTGTTGTGCCCTTCTGTTGCATTCTACATTTCATCCCTCCTACTCGTCACATAGTTTTGCATATAACAGTGTGTTCAGGATCTGTTTCACTCATTGGATGAATCTTCCTATGTACAGAGTGTCCTGTTCTCTGCTCTGCCCATAGCACCTAGTACAGTGCTTGACACACGATATGTGTTCCATAAATATTTGTTGAATTAAAGTATTTTTACTTTAATTCTCTATAATTGGTACATAATAGGTACTCCATAGATATAGTTGTTATTAGTATTGTCCAGGGGAAAAAATCTAGTCAGGGGCAGAACCAGGATTTATACCCAGGTCTAAATCTAAAGCCCATGTTTCTTTCATGATAGTGGCTTTGCCTGCAGATACGAGTTCTAGGCTCAGCACTGCCACAGCCTGGCTGTGACTTAGGGTGACCCCTATGTTGCTCTGAATCTCAGTTTTCCTGTCTATAAGTTGGAATAGGGACAGGTGAAGTTCAGGTTCTGCATCTAATCTGCATCTAATCTAGAGGAGCATAGAAGTCTGTATAGGAGAGGGTATAAATAGTTAATTAATGGACCTTTACAAAATCAGTATCATCCCTCTGCAAGACAGTTAAACAGATATACCAAGAACCCTCAATATGTTCATGCCCTTTATTTAGCCCGGCCCCACTCAGGCAGTGTGGAGTAATGGGTGTTATTAGAGAGCCCTGGGTTTAAATCCCAATATCCCCTTTTACTACCTCTGTGGTCTGGGGCAAGTTAATACCTGAACCTCATTTTCCTCTTTGCAAATGGAATAATAACACTTATATTTTTACCCTTTTCTAAGGTAGAAACAATACAATAACATGGAAAGAATTTTTTTTAAGATTTTATTTTTATTATTTTTAGAGAGGGAAGTGGGGAGAAAGAGAGGGAGAGATTTATCAGTGTGCGGTTGCCTCCTGAGCATCCCCCACTGGGGACCTGGCCCACGGCCCAGGCATGTGCCCTGACCGGGAATCAAATCAGTGGCCCTTTGGTTTGCCGGCCGGCGCTCAATCCACTGAGCCACACCAACTAGGGCAGAAAGAAATTTTTGAATATAGAAATAAAAATGTCTCCCATGATCCTCCCCACACAATTCTTTGTGGGATTCTGGTGCCATTGCTGGCTACTTCCTGAGGCAGGAACCACAGGCAATATTGAGAAAGGAGGAGACTGAAGGCAGAAGTAGGCTGAGGTCAGAGACCAGAGTCTAGGATGTGGACCAAGGGCCCCCATGGGATGGGCTGCAATAAAGGGGAAAGCCAGCTACTGAGGCAGAAGAAAGGAGATGCCAAGTCTGCTAATGGATAATGGCTAGGCTGGATGAGTAGAGAACCAGTAGGAGGACAACAATGTGCCCCAGAGGGCCTCCTTCCAAAGTTTTGTGGCCCTTTCGCTTAGGCATGCTTCAGATTAAAGATCCTTAAAACTTTACCCCTGCCAGTTCCTTTCTTTTGTTTAGTCACATGCATGTATATTTTTGAAATTGCAGTCTTAACATAAATACCTTTTTACTGAGTAGCATATCTTCAATATTTTTCAAGTCACAACTTTTCGTAATGATTCCTTTTCATGGTTGCCAGATATTCCAATTTTGCTCATAGCCCAGAAAGCACATTCCTGTGTATTGACTTTTCTGCTTCCTTGAATTACTTTCCTGGAATAAATTCCCAGGTGTGGGATTACTGAGTCAGTCAGAGGCTATGCAATTGGAACAGAACAACCAGAAACAGGTTTTCTTTTTCTAAGAAAAGAAATGAGCTACAATTCTTTTTTTCTTCCTCTTCCAGAACTGACGAGTTGACCTTATTAAACTGTGTTGTCCAATATGAGAACCATTAACTATATGTAGCTATTTAAATTTAAAGTTTGATTAATTATAATAAAATAAAGTTTAAAATTTAGTTTCTCCATTGCACTAGCCACATTTCAAGTGCTTAATAACCTGTGTCTAGTGGCTGCTGTATTGAAAAGTATAGATACTGGACATTTCCATCATTGTAGGACATTTATTAGACAGTGCTGCTCTAGAGTTTTTCAAGAAGTCATGGTTTGCATCTTGGGTGGGAGCTGAAACCTGTCCCCTGTTTGCAAATGCCCTATAAAGTAACAAAATAATGCCCCTTTGAGACCCACTGAGCTTTTATGTGAGAAGAAAGAAACTCCTCACTTGTGGGGGACAGCTTCAGGTTGTCTCTGCTTGGAGAGAGGGAAGCTTAGAAAGAGAGCCTTGGCTCAGAGCCTAACCCTGTACTCCATTCTCATTTTCCTCTCTTCTTCTGGTCTGTACCCTGGTTTGGGGGAATTGCAGGAATAAGACCCTGCAGATGGAGAAGATCAAAGCCCGTTTGAAGGCTGAGTTTGAGGCCCTTGAATCAGAAGAGAGACACCTGAAGGAATACAAGCAAGAGATGGACCTCCTGCTACAAGAGAAGATGGCCCATGTGGAGGAACTCCGACTGATCCATGCTGACATCAATGTGGTATGTGGCTGGCTGCCTAAAGCCTACCCCTGAGCTCTTTCAGGAATAGGTAATAGTGAATGTTGTGGCGTCTCCTTAAGATTTGGCTGTGGCCAAGTTGGGAAAGTGGTGGAATGGAAGAATCCAGGAGCTCTGAGATGCAGCCTGGCTCTGTCACTGATGGACTGTATATCACTGGACAAGTCCCTTCTTCTCCCTGGGCCTTATTTTCCCTCTCTGTACTCTGACAGGGATTCAATCACATCTAAGGTCTCTTTCACCTCTGATGTGCTTATTATTGGAGTCTGGGAGGTAGGAGCTAGCCTCGGTGAAAAGCAGAGCAGGCAGTTGATGCTGAGGTCTAGCCTGAAGGACTCCAAAGGTTCTCTAACTACGCCAAAAAGAATCCTATCTGCCAGTCTGCCAAAGCGAGGCCCCTCAGTCGAGTCTCTCTTTTGGAGACTCTTGGAACATGGTGAGTGAACTGTGCAAACGTGGTAAGTTCTCAACTTTTTGAGTTACTCAGGTGGAGTCTCAATTACCACCTGTCTGGGCTGTATACAGAACTGATGATTCCTTCACCAGAGAGATGTTGGAGGTGTTGACCTATAAGGCAACTCTTAGAGCCTATGGCACTGAGAAAAAAAAAGTGACATTTGAAGGAATTTCTGTTCTTGGGAAACTCATTTCTCTGGCAATACTACTTCCTGACTTTTCTAGGCCTAGGATTTCAAAGGAAATATGAATGTAATTTGGACAGTAAGTATTTGGGATTTTCTGTGTCACAGATCACAGGATTCCAGGGTCCCATGAGGAGTTGGCAGTTTTGCTGCCAGCTAACCCAAGTATACAGAGCCAATGAAATGAACAGGATATTAGCCACAAAGGGGCTGAGAATCTGAGTGAGTGGATCTCAAACTTGAATATTCATCAGGGTCACGTGGAGGGCCCATTAAAACAGATTGTTGGATTCCACCCTAAATGTTCTGATTCTGTAAGTCTGGGGTAGTGCCTGAGAATTTGCATTCCTAATGAGTCCCCAGGGATGCTGATGCTGCTGATCTGGTGACCACATTTTGAGGACCATTAATGTAGGAGAAAGGCCACTGCACTGGCCTGGGAGGCAGAAGCCCTGAGTTTTTATCTAGGCTTTGCCCCTAAGAAGTATTTCTCTGAAGAAGTTTCTTCTCTCTGAGTCAATTCCCTCATCTGTGAAATGGTGGTGAGGTACAGTAAATGAGCTCTAAAGGCCATTCCAGCTCTAAGATGCTATATTTGAATAATAACTACCACTTAGTCAGTCTTTACCCTACACTGAGAGCCTTATATAAATTCAACCATTGAATCCTCACCATTATATGAAGTAGGCACTATTATTATCACCATTATACAGATGAAGAAACTGAGGCTTGACAAGAGTCACATAGAACACATAGCAAATTGAGGATTTGACCACACAGTGGTCTGTTTCTGGAGACTGTGCTATTATCCACTCACACTCACCTGTACAGCCTCATTGAGAATCTTGGGGTTTTTTTCCCTCTGTGCCTACCTCACTCTGTGTTCCAGATGGAAAACACCATCAAACAGTCTGAGAATGACTTAAACAAGCTGCTAGAGTCTACCCGCCGTCTACATGATGAGTACAAGCCACTGAAGGAACACGTAGATGCCCTGCGCATGACCCTGGGCCTGCAGAGGCTCCCTGACCTGTGTGAAGAGGAGGAGAAGCTCTCCTTGGAGTAAGCAGCCTGCCCCCTGTCCTTGCAACATATGCAAATCACACACACACACACACACACACACACACACACACACACACACACACACACACACACACACACACACACACACCCCACCACCACCACCACCACCCCCCTTCCACTGCCCCTGCCCCGAGCTTGGTCTGAAAGTCAGTCCTGGCCACAGGCCTGTCAGTGGCTGACTCACTGCATGACCTTGGGCCTGTTCCTGTGCTGCTCTGCTAAACTGAAAGAAGTATGATTAAACTAGAATTACTAGATGATTTTTAACATACTTTGTGCAATTTTAACAATACAAGACTATGTCTATGACTCATGTGTGTGTTTGACTCTAAAGAGGCTACTTCCTAGGTGAAGGTCAAGAAGGGGCATCCAGAAACCTTTGAAAATACAGAGGGCTGAGCTTTCACAGTCTCCAGGGGCTAGCCTGGCACTTCATCCTAAGACTCAGAGGCTCACCTTACAGAGAGACAGAGTTCTGTTCAGTAGAAGGAAACACTTCCTTAAGGTAGAGCAGGCTGCCTGTGGAAGAGGAGACTTTCTTATTCCTAGCAGTATGCCAGGAGAGGCCTGTGGACACAGTACAAAGAGCAAGAGCAAGAGATGGAGGATAGGTGAATGCCCTTTGAGGACTTTGCTAACCCTGGATTTCCTTATTTCCTGGGTCTGTCAGAGCAAGAAGCTAGAGGATTACACTTCCTAGCAGACAAAGGATCTGGTACCCAGGGAGAAGAACCTTGTTCTAGGGAGAGTACAGGAACTTTCTATAGTGAACCACAGCCCAACCCCATTGGTTCAAAGGCAGGGAGTCTTTAAGAGGTGGCAAGGTTCTCCTTGTTTTCAGAATGATCCAGCTAATGTCTCTCATCTCCAAAGTTATTTTGAGAAGCAGAAAGCAGAGTGGCAGACGGAGCCTCAGGAGCCCCCCATCCCAGAGTCCCTGGCCGCTGCAGCCGCTGCCGCCCAACAACTTCAAGTGGCTAGGAAGCAGGACACCCGGCAGACAGCCACCTTCAGGCAGCAGCCCCCACCTATGAAGGTGAGTGAGCTCGGTGGGGGCTGTGGGAGAAGCAAGTTATCCTTAAGCGTCCCTGTGGAAGGCTGGTTTTGGGATACAGTCATACCTCGGTACTTGACGGCTTCAGAATTCATCAAACCTGGTACTTGTCGAAGTTTGATGAGAAAAAATGTTTCAGCACCCAGCACTTGCTCACCACTCATCGCACTTGTGAGGACTTGTGACTCACGATGCCACCCTGCAAGAAAAAATGCTTCATCAATAGTCACTTGCTCGCCACTCATTGGAATAAATTAACGACAAGTACCGAGGTATCACTGTATTGGCTTTACTTATGTGGGGCCTTTGTAAAACAGCCTTTGGGACACAGAGGAAAGGGTGTGTGGTATGTGTGCTGGAAAGGACCTGCTTGTTTTGTGGCCTCACAGTCCTAGAGCAGTCAGAATGCAGAGAGATTGGCAGGCGTTGCTAAAATATTTTAGAAAAGTTAGGGACGTGACTGATACAAATATATAGTGAGTATGTATAAAGCTGGTTCCAATAGCATTTGAGGAACAGGTAATCACATAGTCAGGAAAGGAAAGGCATGCTGAATTAAGTTTGCAAAGTTAAATACAGAACTGGTTAATGTTCTATAGGGCAATAAAACTGTAACATCTGTGATTATCTTTTCTTCTGAACAGAAATAATCTGCATCTCTCCTGGGCAAAAAACATTTGTAGTTTAGCAGCATAAGTCGTAGAGTCTGAGCTCTGATTAATGGTAAATAGTAAAAAAAAAAAAATGTAAATAGTGAAACAAAGGGCCATCGTCCTAGAGCAGGAGTTAGCAAGCTGGAGCCCACAGGCCAAGTCAGAACTGCTCTTCTTTTTTGTAAATAAAGTTTTGTTGGTCCACACACATGCCTGTTGATGTTTTGTCTGTAGATTCTTTCATATAAAATGTCTGTAGATTCTTTCATGTAAAATGTATAATATTGAGTAGTTACAACTAATATCATATGACTTGAAAAGTCTAAAATATTTACTATTTTGGCTTTTACAGAAAATGTTTACTGATACCTATCTTAGACCATGCTCCATTATATTGCTAAATGGTATGCGATTCATTTTGCCTTATTTGGAAGTTTTGGATGTTTTTCCTCAATACCCATTTTTAACCCTCACTCCCTTATATCCTTTACATCCCTTACATCCAGCACTGATCTCTCTTCTTGGGTCTCACTCACTGATTACTGCTTCTTCCTGTTGGGAAAATCACAATTGTTTTCTGGACCCTGGGGATCAGAAGTCTGAATGAACCACAGCCTAGGAGAATCTGACTACTAACTTTCTTTGTCCTGTGTACCCCACCAGGCCTGCTTGTCATGTCATCAGCAAATTCACCGCAATGCACCAATATGCCCTCTGTGCAAAGCCAAGAGTCGGTCCCGGAACCCCAAAAAGCCAAAACGGAAGCAGGATGAATGAAGAGAGGGAGAACACAGAGAGCCCTACTGCTCATAACCCCTTCCTTTGGCCAGTGATCAATGTCCTGATGTGAAACAACCCTTCCCCACCTCTACCAAGTCTCCAATTTAATGTGATGGAAGCACAACTCCTCTCTCACTTTGCTCTTCTTTCTTTCTGCTCTTGGGGTTTCTGGTTTAGGAAGAGATGTGGTTCAGGTGCTAATGACAGTATGTCTGATAATCCCTTCTCTCCCACCCACATTTCAACCCCTGATCTTGTTTGGAGCTAAGGATAGGGCAGGAGGCCCAAACAGGATTCTCTGTCTCTTGTGCCTGAGGGCTGGGACCTAAGGTCTGAGGGTTGGGAGGCCCATATCTTGTTTAGTGTAAAGGCTCCAGTGTGCCCCTCCCTGTACTTTTGCCTTAGGCTTTGAAGGGACAACAATGACTTTCAAGTAGGCCTGGTGCATATATCTTCCCTACCCTTGTCTCATGTCAAGGCCCGGAGGTAGTTTGGACAAGCTCTTTTTGTATTCATTTCGGAGGACTGGGTGTTACTATGGAGGTCACCATCCCACCCGACCCCCAGTCTCCCAGATACACAGAAGTTCTCAGGTACCAGGCTGTGTGTCTGGGGACCCCACCTCTACCAAGAGATCTGCGGGCCTTTCTCCCCCAGTCCTAGTTTTTGCAGATCAGCAGTAAAAGTTCCCCATAGTGAAATCAGGGAACTGGAGCTATACCCACTTGATTAAGTCCTGCCTAAGTCTTTGGGCTAGGGCTCTGCTATAGGGGTTGCCTTAGGCTTAGATGGGCCTCAGGCTGACAATTGTGTTGCCATTTGTTCAAAATCACAGGAGTGGGTTGAGATTAAGTGAGCGGCAATTACTTTACCCTTGTAAGTGGGTGGGACTTCTCCATTTATCCCTCCTCTTGGGTCTTCCCTCTTCTGTAAGGCAGCCTCAGCTCAGGTCAGCGCTGGCCACCCCCTTTCCTGTGGATTGGGCAGGTGACCTTCCCTCCCCAAAGACAAGACACCAGGGTCCCCAAGCCCTACAGCTCTCTACTCCACCAAAGCCAGATCTTTAATAAAATCACCCTCAGACTTAAGGGACAGGGATGAAGGTTGGCTGACTGAAAAAGTTTTAGCTCTAGGTCTCAGTCCCTAGCTGGGGAAGGAAAGAGATTTTTCCTTCCTTCCTTAACTGCAGTTTTACGTTTCCACAGTGTCTGTGTGTTCAGAATATAAGAGATTCCTCTGCTCTTGGAAAGTAAGAGTGTTATGTCTGTACAAATCCTTTTAAATAAACATTTGTTCATTGGAGTAAATGCTGACTGAGTGCTTATAAGTACCAGGTAATAAAAAAGATGGAATGGAGAGTAGCTACTAATGGGTATGCCCTTTTCCCTTCTGAGTAGCTCTTCACTCTTATTCACTCCACCCTACGAAAGAGGAAACTGGGCACACCACTACACAATAATTTATCTCACCCTTATAATCACTTCTATTTATTCGGTACTTACTCCGTCAGGTCTCTATGCAAGATGCTTTATATAAATGATCACATTTGATATTGAAAACAACCCTTCAGGCTAAGTACTCTTATTGCCATTTTCCAAAAAGGGAAACTGAAGTTCAGAGAGGTGAAATAACTTGTCCATAGTGAACAAACAGCTAGTAAGAGAAGCTTCAGGATTGAAACCCAGGTTTTTCTGGTTTCAGAGACCTTTTTTTTTCCTACTTTTTGTCTATGATCGTTTTTTCTTCCCTTTGGGATGACATGATGATAGGAGTTGTTGAGATAACTCTGAACTAGAAATCAGGGGCTAGGAATCTCGTGAGTGATGCAGGAATATAAAGGCCTCATCCTCTGTAGGGATACAATAGGGAATGACTCTGAAGAGTCATTCCAGCTTCAGAGCTCCCCGTAGGGAAGACCGAAGCTTCCAGTAAGACTGCATTGTGGTTCAACAGCTCCCTCTGTCCAATCCTGCCTCCTTCTCTTCCCTTCTACAAGCATTGATTCCAAGGGCTCTCTAATTAGTATCCTAAACATTAAACTGCCCTGGTGCTCCCCAGAAATGCAACAGCAGACAAAAACTTCTCTGTGCCTTAGTGTCCTCATCTGGAAAAATGGGGGAAATGGTATATGAGGGGGTACCCCCCAAAACCAAATTTATTAAAAATATTGTGTATTTGTTCTTACATGTTTAAACTTCAGTCCCATTCAAAGTGCTTTCTATTTGATGCAATATACCGGAGACATTTTGTCCCACTGCTCAAAACAATTTTTGAACTTGTCGATATGGAGGCCTTTTAGTGTTCCTGCTGTTTTTTGTTCCACCTCTTCCACATCAGCAAAACGTTTCCCTTTGAGGACTTTTTTCATCCAGGGAAATTTTTAAAAAAAGTCACTCGGTGAGATTGGGTGAATAGGGAGGGTGGGGCACAGAGGTCATGCCATTTTTGGTCAAAAACTAATGGACATTCAGCACAGTGTGGGCAGGTGCGCTCATAAATCACCCATCATGAAATGGCCAACCTTGTTCAAAGAGTCTTCCAAAAAAAATTCACTGAAGCCAAACACAGCCTCTCCCAACAATGCCAGCTGGTGCACTCATAGAGATGCGCTCCTAGAACACTCACCTAGCATGGGAAGCCTGTACTACAAGGATCTCACCCTCCAGAGGATAATTCAGGATTTTTGGGTCCCCCCTCATAGTACCTACTTCTGGGGCCACTGTGAGCAATGCCAGGCACATAAGTATGAATTTTCTTCTTCCCCTTATGCCTCTGGCACCAAGTAGATGGGATATCCAGTCAAAAGAAATACTATTCTCGTTACCTGATACTACTCTATCACCCCAGATTTTGCCCAGCTACGAGCCAGCTTTGCAGGTGGCTCAGACTCACTCTGGGCAAAGGAAGGGCATTCAGCTGTGTGACTTGGAATGCACCTTAACCTGTACAGGCGTGAGTGGGTCCCTGTCACAGGGGTGTCCAACCTTTTGGCGTCTCTGCGCCATGCTGGAGGAAGAAGAGTTAGTTGTCTTGGGCCACACATTAAATACATCGTGACATATAATCACAAAAAACAATCTCATCATGGTTTAAGTAAATTTACGCTTTTGTGTTGGGCCTCACTGATGATCACTCTGGGCCGCATGTGGCTGTGGGCCGCAGGTTGGACACCCCTGTGAGTGTAAAGTACAGGAGGAGTGGTCATTGCTCTCTACCTGGGGCACATTGGAGGTCAGATCTGTCAAGCTGAATGCGGCACCACTAGCCAGTCGGTCATTTCCCAGGAACACTTCTGAATGGCAAGGGAACAATCACTAATACTTGAGCACCTCTATCTGCCAGTTACTGGGTGGGGCTGGCTGAGCCCCTCACCTCACTTGATAGTATATTGTCCTCTCCACCATTTGGCCTCTCTCTATAAGTAGAGCAGTCAGACACTTTTTAAAAACCTGGTAGCAGACTTGCAAAAGGAGAAAATTGAAGATGCAAGGCCTTTTGTGGCAGAAGACTAGAAGTTATACAGCAACACTGTTGTTGTACACTATTGGTCAAAGCAAGTCATGGAGCCAGCCTGGATTTAAGGAGGCAAAGAGATTCCACCTCTTGATGGGAGGAGCTATATACATGTCAGAGATGGGAGGGGTTGTTGGCCATATTTGCAGGCAATCTACCACACCTTCCAACAACAGCCTTGTAAGGAAGGTGTTATGTGTGTCCATTTTTACAGGTGATAAAACCGAGGCTCAAAAAGAGTAAAGCGAAGGCCCAATAATAACTAGGAAGGGGCAAAGCCAGAAGTCAGACCCAGGTTTGTCTGCTCCTATAGCCCGTGTTCCTTCTGCTTCAGTGCAGTGCTGCAGTTAAGTCCCCGGCTTGGTTAAGAGAATAAAAAAAAGGGGGGGCGGAGAAAGAACAAAAACAGAGTGAAAGAAAACAAGCGAAGTGAAAGAGAGAGAGAAGGAACACAGTAAGTGAAGTAATTTGTTATATTAGTAAAAAAATATTTTACACTTAAGGCACCTTGTTCAATGTTCTTATTTGATGCTCACATTGATAACCCTGTACTGTTAGTAGAGCATTCATTATTATTATCTACATTTTACAGATGACATCCAGAGAGGAAACTGACTTGCCCAAGGGCACATGGCAAGTTAAAAGCAAAGCCACGACTAGAACCCAGGCCTTCCAATCTGGAAACAACTCATTCTGGGGCCCTCTTTGCATATTTGACACAGTGGGAATGAATTGTATGCACGTTTTGTGCTAAAAGTTGCTTTTACACTGAGGAGAGCTCCCTCTACAAGGGAAGGCCTGGTAATTTTAGTGATTATGCTTTTAAAGTCCAGTTCCCCAATACTATTATGCCTTCAGCTTTCCCACAGAAACTCAGCGTTTTTATAATAATGAGCATCTTCCAAGGTGACCTCTGGAAAGGCTGTTAACTCAGGGGCACATGTCCTTAGTTTAACTTATTGAACCTCATCTGTACAGTGGCAGTTATAAAACAATTTACTTCGTTGGATTGTTATGAGGATTAAATAACATTTATAAAGTGCCCACAGAAAGCATTATTTGAGTGTTTGAGAAACAAAGTAAACATATCAGATCTTCCTAAAAACACCCGGTGACATAAAATTAGAGACAAGAAAATTGAGGCTGCTACAGCCTGAGGGTTAACCCCACCTGCAGCCATGCCAAGAGCAATCAAGACTCAATTACAACACACAATCCACACAAGGGACTTTCCTGGAGCAGCTAGCTCAGGTGATCAGGGGCAATGTGCTAATGACCCCCACAGGTCACCTGCTACATCAGGCCACCCTACCAAGACTGAGAGACATAGCAGATATACCTTGAAATTATTATGCTAATTGAACCACTTAGTAGAAACTTCTTTCAACAGCTTTTAACCAGGACATATTGTATGATTCCATTTATATGAAATGCCCATAATATGAAAATTCATAAGGACAGGAAGATTAATGGTTACTAAGGTTTGGAGAGAAGGGAAGAGGAATGGAGAGTGACTACTAATGGGTGTACGATTTCTTTATAGCGTTCTGGAATGAGATAGTAGTGCTGGTTGCACCATCTTGTGAATATACACTGAACTGTATACTGCTGAATAGTGAATTGTATGGTACAATAATTATACTTCAACAGAGCTGTTATAAGAAATTTTAAAAAGTTGGCATAGCAATACTTAGACAAAATAGGGTTTAAAACAAAGGCTATGATACGAGAAAAAGGACACTACATAATGATAAAGGGATCAGTCCACAAGAGGATATAATCCTTGTAAACATTTATTCACCCAACAAAGGAGCACCTATATATGTAAATCTAATATTGATGGACAAAAAGGGAGAGGTCAACAGTAATGCAATCATAGTAGGGGACTTTAACATCCAATCGACATCAATGGATAGAACTTTCAGACAGAAAATCAACAAGGAAAGAGTGGCCTTAAATGACACAGACAACCAGATGGATTTAATTGATATTTTTAGAGCATTTCGCCCCACAGCAGCAGAATATAAACTCTTTTTAAGAGCACATGGAAAATTTTCCAGGGAAAACCACATGTCAGGGCACAAAACAAGTCTCAATAAAATTAAAAGATTGAAATCATATCAAGCAATCTCTCTGACCACAATAGTATGAGACTAGAAACCAATTACAAAAAAAAAAAAAAACCCTAAAAAACACACAAATACATGGGAGCTGAACAACGTGCTACTAAACAATGAATGAGTTAACAAAGAGATCAAGGAAAAAATTAAAAGACACTTTGAGACAAATGAAAATGTAAACACGACCTGAACTCTGTGTGACAAAAAAAACAGCAATTCTAAGATGGAAATTCGTGGTAATGCAGGCCTATGTCAAGAAGTAAGAGAAATCGCAAATAAACAATCTAACCTTGCACGTAAAGGAATTAGCAAAAGAACAACAAACAAAGCCCAAAGTGAACAGAACAAAGGAAACAAAGATTAGAGTGGAAATAAACAACCTAGAGACTAAAAACAATACAAAAGATCAATAAACCAGGAGGTGTTTTTTTTTTTAAAAAAGATAACAAGATTGATAAACATTTAACCAGACATATCAAGAAAACAGAGAGGGGACCCAAATAAATAAAATCAAAAACAGAAAAGACGAAGAGACAACTGACACCAAAAAAATACACAAGATTATAAAAATATACTACAAACAATTACATGTCATCAAATTGAACAATCTGGAAGAAATGGATAAATTCCTAGAAACACACGTTTATGACTCCACAT